AACGTACAAAAATTAGCCAGGTGTGGTGGTGCACAACTGTAGTCCCAGCTACTCAGGATTGCTTGAGCCCAGGAGGTCAAGGCTGCAGTGAGCCACGATCATGCTGTTGAACTCCAGCCTGGGCAACAGAGTGAGACTCTATCTCAAAAACAGATGAAAAAAAAATGAATTCTTATTAGGATCATCCCTAATGTGAATACGATTTTGAGAACAATTGGAATGAAGGCTAGAAAAAGTAGAAGACCAGAAGGGGCAGAAGAGAAATATGTCCTTGCAGTCAAAACTGAGGCATTAAAATGGACTTAATGGCAGTTCAGTTGCATAGGATTTCACTCTCGGAAGGGGTTCTGTGGTCGCCTTCTTGAAGAAATTCCTAATAATTGTGTCTGTGAATTTGTGTGTTTTGTTAACTGAAGTCCAGTGGGACATAAGGCATGAGTTGGGGCTTGGAGACAGGCTCCTACGTGGTTCTGCTCTCCCTACTCCCTAAGCAGGGCTCTCAGCTGGTCCCTCCTGCCCTCTAGTGACCTAGGCCCCACCTGGATTCCTCCCCTATCCCTGCCTTGCTCCTGTTGCCTCGCTTTGCCTGGGTGGCAACTGGGTCATGCAGGTGGGGGAAGGCCCATCTTCTGCCATGGTTCTCAGTTCTTGGTGAGGTCTGAGGATGGGTGTGGAGATGGTCAGGGTTAGACATATGCTCTGCAGTATCTCAGGATGGGACAAGGCGGTGGCAGCACCAAAACATGGTAGGTGGGGCCTCTTGCCCATCCTTGACCCAGGTGGTGGGATAACCCCCAGAGACTGGAAGCAGCAGAGCATGAGGGAAGAAAACATTGACTTTCCTGGCCCAGCCTGGGGCCTGTGTTTCCATTTTGCACCGGGCCCCTCTCATTGGCTTTGGATTAGAGAAACAACATGAAAATACATAGGGCTGTGAATTTCTTCCACTCCCCCTTACAATCAATCCTGGTGTAGTCACTGAGGCTTTGCACCAATGTTCCAGCTCTCTTCTCTGTGGATGTGTTAGAATTGCACTTTGATGTGCCCTCGAAATGACATGTGGCCACCCGACTTGCTTTTCCACTCTGGGAGGAGATTTAAGAGCTGATTCGTATCTCCTTTCTCTGTCATGGTAAGCACCATGTTTCAAAGGGCGGATGCTTTATCAGTCTGTGCCCGGAATGAGAATGACAGGGATCAGAGCCCCTTTCAGGAGTAAGAAATAAACTTTTGTTATTTTCTGCCATAAAGATTTGGAAGTTTCGTGTAGCAAAACCTAGTCTATACTGATGGATATAATGTTGGTGATGAATTGTTCTTCCTGGCACACTTTCTGGCAAATAATAGATGCTTAGTGTATATTCATTGACTGAATAAATAGTCTTCTCCTGGGCACGTCTGAGATCCTCATGTAGATACATTAAGCAGATATTCTTCCTTGCTCAGCTGACCCTCTTGGACAATATCCTTTTATATCAAACTATCATTTTGATTTTTGAACTTCTCTGATTGACCTTGCCCTTCTCTCTTGACGCTTTCTTTATCTCCTGCCTGGGCTCCTCATTTTTCTTCCTGTTACTGTGTTTTCCTTTTCATGGAGAACTTTTTGAAGACCACAGATAGATAGGTGACTTCTGAAACTGCAACTTAGATCTTCCCTTCTTTTCTCCATGTCATCTCTTACCTTCAACTGCACAGAACAGTTCTCTTTAGGTGTCTGCTGGCATCTGACTTAGTATGCCCAAAATGGGACTCAGCTGCATCTTCCAGAACCATCAACTGTTCCCCAAATCTCTGCCTTCATCTATATCTTGGTGGCACTGCCAGCCCACAAGCTCTTTCTGTAGCTTTATTTTAGGTTTTGCATCTGTTTTATATTATTTTATTTTAATGTTATCTGTCTCCCAACTTCTCTCTGCCATGCCTGTTAGATTCACTATGGTCTGAATTTCCACCCCTTACCGCCATATTTCCCTTACTCCTGATCTCATATCCCAACTGCTCCAACAGATGTTGGCCTGCCTTCCTTTCTGATCACATATCTTCTTAACATTTTTTATTATGTAACTAGAGTCTTCTTATAGAGTAGTGGTTCCCAACTAGCATGCCTCCAAGTAGTAACGCATAATATAATTTTTTTTGCCTTTTAGAATTCCAGATCTAAACCCTCTCTCAGGTGAGTGTTGCATTCTGAAGGTCATGCTAGAGGGATAGAGAATAAGGACTGCAGCAAGTAGGAGCAGTACGTGAGGGCCAGAGAAGTCTGGGATTTACTGGAATTATTATGTGGGAATTTGGCTGTGGGCATGGGGATCAGGGTGGGATGAGAAATAAAAATGTGGCTGTCTTTGTTTTGCAGAGCCATAACTTACCTAGGGCTAGCACAATAGGAATGACAATTTTGGCTGCCTGGAGGGGTGGGGCGATGAACAGAATTAAGTGAAGATGGTTGTAAGAACTTGGAAATGCCCTGATTAAGACTGCTCTACTCATAGCTCCAGCTGGCCATGATCACACAGAAACACAAGCCTGGCATGCTGAAATGCCCTGATTTTTCAAAAGAAGCCAGAAATAGGAATTGTTAGGTGAAGAAATGGAAATGTAGAAACTAATTTTTTTAAAAGTATTGTGAAGCTCCAACAGAACATTTCTGTGGACCAGGTCCTTCTTGGAGGTTGCTATTTTGAGATCTCTGAGTCTAAAGATGAGCTGAGCTGGGCTGAGAACCCAGGACAGAGTCCTAGGGAGCCATGACATTTACTGGGTTATTTGAGGAACAACAGAGCAAAAGCATCATCACAGAGGTCGGGAAGGAGCGCCATTCCAATTCTTGCAAAACAGGTCAGAAGAGATTACCTAGGACTACAAGCTTCTGTTTCTATCATAATCAGGAAAACAACAGCAACCACAACCACATCCACAAACAAAGGACAATTCTTTTAAAAGGGGAAATATCAATGAAACTCTATTGCAACACTGCAAATAAAAGAAAGGGAGAATTAAAATTCCATGCACACTACTGCAGTACTTTCAGGAGGGATGAGCTCAAAAGAGAAGTAAGGGATGGGCCATGCAACTACATCCTCAGGTCCATCTAGGGTTGGCCAAAGCAAATTGAAAGAGATGGGAGTGAGTGGGAGGGGAGAAGCTCCAGGGAGAAAATGAAAAGGGTTCTTCCAAAGAGGTTGGTAATGAAAGATAAGAGAGAGACACACTGAATTGAGACAGAAGCACAGCTCTAGAGACAGGCAGAGAGACCGACAGACAGATTGATGAGAGGTGATTCACACAGACACACCCTCCCATGAAATGATTACCTGACAGTAGATGAGCACTTCGTGTGGGCCAGTAATCTTCTGAGAGCTTTATCTCTAACTCATTTAATCCCTGCAAAACCTTATAAGGTAGATACTATATTTAAGCCCATTTTAAAATGAGAAAACTGAAGTATGGAAGTGCACTTATGTATTTTGATTATTTGTCTGTTTATTTGTTGAAAAGAGAGATTTGAGAATGTTTGTATGGACAGGGGAGAAGTTAAGAGATGAGAGGTTCGGAATTCAAGAGGTCCATTTGGAATACCTCCAGTTGAAAAGAGATAATGAAAAAATCCCAAGAAATGTCCTGAGTTCTTGGAGGGTGGAGTGGCAGAAGGGAGAGTTGTGTATTCTTCAGAAACTGCAGGGAAGGAACAAAAAGAAATTAATGGTATGAAATTGCTAGTGAACATTGAAGGAAGAGCCTCAGCAGCCTCTTTGTTTTTGTTTCTTAAATAAATCACATTGGATGTGGGGGCTCTGTTACTCTTGAGGATGTGATACAGATTCTTGGTTATGGGAAAACTCAAATTAATCATAAAACAGGTCTTGGATATTGAGGAGAGATTAATCATCTAGAAACAAACCAAGGATGGATTATTTCATCTCTTTGGGTTGGGCTCAAATATGCATCCCACCCTACTGGGATACTGGAGCCATATGGAACCCTTTTTGGTACACCGGGTAATGGAGACTTCCCAGAAGGGATGCTCTGAAGTCATAGTCTGCACTCTTGATATTCAGAAGGAATTCTCAGAACGTGTTGACTACCTCTGCTGCCCTTTGTTTTGAGGGCAACACACGCCCTCTTCCAGCTATAACTGTAAAAACCCAGTCCTCCTCCCCAGGGCGGCTTGTTTTTAAGAGCTGTGGAAATTGGAATAAGAATACAACCCTTTCATTTAAAAAAGAAAATGCCTCCATGTGCATAACTTACATTATCCAGAACATGACAGAAAGCACAGAGGAAAATATCTCTGTCTTACTCCCCTCATAAAAATGGCAGCATTTTCAAGCTCAGACTCTCTCTGGCTCTGTGTATGTGTAATGCCAAAGAGCCTTTCTACTTTTTGCTACTTTATTCTAAAGTGGTTCTCAACATGAGTGACAGTAAACATGAGTACTTGGGATACATTTAAAAATTCAGATTCTGAGGTCCCGTCACCAGAATTTCTAATTTGGTAAGTTTGGGCTAAAGCCTAGAAATCAACATTTTAATCAAGCTCCCCATAGGGAACATAGTTTATGTTTAGAAAAATTAAAACAAAACGAAAAACCAAAACATTGTTCCACAAGTTCTGACGAATAAGAAATCTTATCATGAATTGCTCTGGTAAGAGGCGCAGGCCCTGGCTTTAAGAGTTTGTAGGCCGGGCGCGGTGGCTCACGCCTGTAATCCCAGCACTTTGGGAGGCCGAGGCAGGCGGATCACAAAGTCAAGAGATCGAGACCATCCTGGCCAACACAGTGAAACCCCATCTCTACTAAAAATACAAAAAAATTAGCCGGGCATGGTGGCATGTGCCTGTGGTCCCAGCTACTCGGGAGGCTGAGGCAGAAGAATCGCTTGAACCCAGGAGGCGGGGGTTGCAGTGAGCCAAGATTGGGCCACTGCACTCCAGTTCTGGTGTCAGAGCAAGATCCTGTCTAAAAAAAAAAAAAAAAAATGAAATTAGAGTTTGCATCTATGGCCATATTACCCTGAACGCACCTGATCTTGTCTGATCTCAGAAGCTAAGCAGGGTTGGGCCAGGTTAGTACTTGGATGGGAGACCGCCGGGAAAACCAGGTGCTGTAGGCTTTGTAAAGAAAAAAAAAAAAAAAAAGAAATTAGAGTTTGCAAAAGTCATCTTTTTCTTAACTGAAGGACTTGGGGAGCCAGAAAGAAAGAGGGGTTTCTGAAAGAGACTCATTCCATTAAATCAGAAGACTTCAAATCAACAAATATTCCACGGGGCCCCCCACATTCTCCCTATTCTATTAGTGCCTCTGCACTTGGAACAGAGATGAAGATGCCTGTCCCACCTATGATCTGTTGGGAAGATACTTGCTATACCCACGAGTACGTGCACACGCGGGAATGAACTATCATTATGAAAACTGCTCTACACAGGTTTTTAGGCTGCTCATATTTCAGACCTCTGGCCCCTTATCCTAGGTGCTGTCACACAACATGTCCTGATTTTGGCTTGGAAAATGTAGGCAGTGAAAATATGCTACATGAAAACTGAGATGGGCTGGGTGTGGTGGCCCACGCCTGTAATCCCAGCACTTTCGGAGGCCGAGGAGGGCGGATCATGAGGTCAGGAGTTCCATCATCTTGGCTAACACGGTGAAACACTGTCTCTACTAAAAATACAAAATATTAGCGGCCATGGTGGCGCACACCTGTGGTTCAGCTACTCGGGAGGCTGAGGCAGGAGAATCTCTTGAACCCGGGAGGAGGAGATTGCAGTGAGCCAAGATTGCGCACTGCACTCCAGCCGGAGCGACGGAGCGAGACTCCGTCTGAAAAACAAAAAACAACAAACAACAACAACAAAAAACTATGATGGATGTTCAAACCATGCCTGCAAAGAAGGCTTCAGGCTAGTAAGTGCTAATTATGGCAAAAAGAGGCGGTGCTGCTTTTGTTATGTGACAGATGCTTTTCTCACAAATTCTCACACGAGCACTGTGAGGCCCTCAGAGTCTCCACTATGATACCTATTTTACAGATGAGAAAACTGAGGCATGCATTTTTAGTTTCTATTAAAAATACAAAAAATAGCTGGGCGTGGTGGCGCACACTGGTAGTCCTAGCTACTCAGGAGGCTGAGGCTGGAGAATGACTTGAACCTGGGAGGCATAGGTTGCAGTGAGCTGACATAGTGCCACTGCACTCCAGCCTGGTCCACAGAGAGACTCTGCGTCAAAAGAAAAAAAAAAAAGAGAGAAAAAAGTATGAGAAGGCCCTAGAGGAAATTATTTATGGTAAGTGACATAAGCCAGGCTCAGAAAGACAAATACAGTATGACCTCACTTATGTGTGGAATCTAAAAAAGTAAAAGCATGTAAAAAGGTGGTTATTGGAGGCTGGAGGATGGGAGGATCAGGGAGACCTAAGTCAATGGGTGCAAAATTACAGTTAGGTGAAATAAGCTGTGGTGTTCTATTGCACAGGAAGGTGATTATGGTTAATAATAATGTGTTTTATATTTCAGAATACCAAATAGAAGATTTGAAATGTTCTCCCCCCAAAACATGAAAGATTTGAGATGATGGATATGCTAAATATCCATTTGATAATTCCACAATGTATATATGTATCAAAGCATCACATTGTACTCCATAAATATGTACAATTATTATTTGCTAATTAAAAATAAAATAAGGCTGAGTGCAGTGGCTCATGCCTGTAACGCCAGCACTTTGGGATGCTGAGGTGGGCGGATTGTTTGAGTCCAAGATGGTTCAAAACCAGCCTGTGCAACATGGTAAAACCTCAGCTCTACAAAAAATACAAAAATTAGCTGGGCATGGTGGTGTGCGCCTGCAGTCCCAGCTACTCGGGGGCTGAGGTAGGAGGATCGTTTGATCCCAGGAGGTTGAGGCTGTAGTGAGGCGTGATTACACCACTGCCCTCCAGCCTGGGCTATCCTGTGAGTCCCTGTCTCAAAAAATAAATACATAAAAATAAAAAAAAAAAAGTAAAATCAACTTAAAGAAAACAAGAACACTGTGGGACCGGCATCAATGAATGATAAGCGAATGGTTAAAGGAAATGAGAGAAAGGCCTTTGGGTACTCAGAAAAGATTAAACTTTTCTGAAGGCGCCAAGTTATCTTTAAAGTCATCGTTGTCAACAGGGGGAGATTTTACCCCCCCGAGGGACAATCAGCAGTATCTGAAAGCAGTTTAGTTATCACTGCTAGTAAGGGGACTGCTACCAGTATCCACTGAGGAGAGGTGTAGGATGCTGCTAAACATTCTACAATCACAGGACAGCCCCTCTCAGAAGAATAATCTAGCTCCAAATGTCAGCAGTGCCAAGGTAAAGGAAGTAGAGAAACCTTGCTTTAAAGATTTTTGAGCAAGAAATAATAAAGTCAGGGGTAAACTGAAAAAGGCACTGCAAATTCCACGTGGCCACGAAATGAGCTCTGGGGCTGGCGTATCTTAACCCTGCAGACAGACTCTCAAGTTCCTTAGTTCTCAAGCATGACTTCCATAGTTAGCTCTCCGGGGACGGACTCTCCTTTGACTACTGCATCTTTAACCAAATGTGACTTTGTCCTATGGCATTAGGATATTATTATGCTGCTGGTACCAATAATTAACCTCTGTTTAATAGGAAGCCTTCTCTGGAGAAGAGCCTCAGCTTCTGTCTCCTGGAAGAAAACTCTATTGGGAACAGTGGGTATCATCTTCATCTTCTTCCCAAACATGCAGGGAAACACGAATAGGACGGGACAACTGTAATTGCTTTGATGCCTTGTATATTTATGTTTGAGACCTTCGTATGAACTGTTACTTTAAAAAAGAAGGACTGGTTCATCTTTAAAAGGGGGTGATTGATCACTGCCAGTCGGGCACTCCTTCATTCTTGGCTTCCCCTTACCCTTCGTAATAAGTTCCTCACGAACACTAGTTTGTTATTAAAGAATGGTATTCATCATAAGCCAAGCATAGAGGAGGCAGAATTTGATGGGCACAGTACCATATTCCCATCCACAGTGTCCTTTTTGTTCAGTGTGATCTGTTGCGTCATTAACATTTAAGGAAAAAACACACAAAGACTTTGGTAAATATTAATCAGAAATGCAGAGTCCCTTTCCCTACTCAATTACCCATTACTGTGCTCTCCAGGTGATAATGTCCTGCTAAACCTCCTATTTGCTTAAAATGCAAGTGAAAGTACTTTCTCTGGATTGCGCCTAGCGCTCTTAAGCAGCCTAAATGGCCTTTAACAGTGGGGAAACTTCCTTCCTCTCTTTCTCTACCCCTTCTTTATTTAGCATTCTGTCAGGTCTTCTGGCGTTTGTGGATGGGTCCAACCCTCCCACCTTCCCCCACCTTCCCAGGCTGCCTGCTTTCTTGATAGGTTATAACTTTTGCTGACATGTTCAGATGACTTGAGGCATGCCGAATTCACAGCACACTTGTCCAGTGGTCAACGTCCCCAACAGCCGGCGGATCGTGGCACCTCTGTAGAGCGCGATGTCTTTGAACTCAGAAGTCCATTTCTTCCCACTTCAAATCTCATCAGACTATGCAAATTGCCAGCAACCTTTCCACACCGGCTGAAGCGGGTCCAAGCCATGATCTCTCTTATTATCAGTGAAGTCATTAAAAGTCCATCAGATCAATTGGGCTCTGACATCACATTAAAAATGTTCTTGGGTGAAATCTATTTCTCCAGTACTATAACTGGTGTAAGTTCAAAGAGGCTCATAATGAAATCTTGTCCCCCCTGTGTCAGCTCCTCAAGTTAACAGTGAATATTAAAATTCAGGTGGCAAGAGGTGGATTCATCATGGAACATCAAAATCTGAACCTGAAACGCCATCATCCTGAGAGCCACTAGGTTCGTATAAACAGCAAATATGCACTGTGACTGAAATGGTGAGGGGAAAGCCACACTTCCTAGAGGTCAGGTCAGTCTACCTGTGGGCCCGAAATTATAGTGGCAGAATGAAGAAGTGAGATGATTTTTCTCTAAGTTGTTAAAAATGCTGGTTACCAAAGTTACTCTATACTTCCATCCCTGTTTCAAAACCAAGCTGAAGCACTCTCTCTGCTTTCCCTACAAATTAGACAAAATATTTTCCCCCATAATATTTCTTCTTGATTTTGGAATGACATTTTGTCTTTCCTAAATAAAAGCAATCAACGCACACAAATGTACTAGATACTTGGCATATTTTAATTTTGTGAAATTAAACTCTCCTTTAAACATACCATCAGAGATTATTTATCTAAAGAAACCCCTGGGGACTTTGCTGTCTGCTGAGCATTTGAGATATAAAGAGAAAAGTAGAACCGAAAGATACCCATTTTTACCTGGATACAGGAAAATGAAATCAACAAAAGATTATGTTTTTCAGTATACTTGGGAGATATAATTCTTGCATATTAGCTTTACGTTACTTCTTTCTACTCTTGAATATGAGAAA